AGCCACCTGAGATAACTATCCAATTACCCTATTTTCTAAAGAAGAATGAGAAGGCCTCTGCTGCTGCCCAATGCCCTGCTTATGATTCATCCAGGTTACCCGCTTCCCCACTTACTTCAAAGCTTTGATCTCCATCCCATGAGAAACCAAGCTTAAAACCCTCCTCTCTAGGTCAGCGAGCCTGTCTGTGATGATGCTCTTCTCTTTATTTGTCAGATGGATCCCATCTCTTCCTAGCAACCCTTTTTCTTAGAACAACATCCCATGCTTGAAGAAGCCAGAGCTCTTTTGGCAACATAATCTGCACAACCATGCAATGATCTGAAGGATGAATCCAATCCTGCCTGAGCTCATCCCTTTGACTGGAAAGATTGAAGAGAACATCACCTGAGTCTCCATCCCCCTCACCCTTGCAACCAGAGCACTGTAGTTACCTTTTATTTTCTCAGGGTTGCCCCTGGTGGTATCATTGATGCCCACATAGATAAGCAGCATGGGGTAGCAGTCAGAGGACTGGATGAGTTTCAGTGGTATTGCAGAGCCACTGCCCATTATATATGAGAACTTGTGATGATTAGAATAGGTCCTGGATGTTTGGAAAAGGGCAAGTACGGTGCCCATCTTTATGAAAGGTAAGATGTGGGGAATTACAACCTAGTCAACCTCACCTTGGTCCCTGGAAAAATCATGGAGCAGGTCCTCAAGGAATCCATTTCTAAGCACTTGGAGGAGATAGGTGACTAGGAACAGTCAGCATGAATTCACCAAGGGCATGTCTTGCCTGACCAACCGGATTGATTTCTATGATGAGAAGACTGGCTCTGTGGATGCAGGGAGAGCAATGGACATGATATAACTGGACTTTGGCAAATCTTTTGATACAGTCTCTGACACTTTTTTCACAACCAAGCTAAGAAAGTATAGGTTGGCTGAAAGGACTGTGAGGTGAACTGAAAACTGACAGGATGGTTCAGCTCAAAGGGTAGGAATCAATGGCTCAATGTCTAGCTGGCAGATGGTATCAAGGGGAGTGCCCCCGAGGTTGGGCCTAGAACCAGTTTTGTTCAATATGATCATCAAAAACCTGGGAGATGGGATGGAGTGCACCCTCAGAAAGTTTTCAGATGACACCAAGCTGGGCAGAGTGGGAGACAGATACACTGAGGGTAGGGTAAGGATTCAGAAAGACCTTAACAAATTGCAGGATTGGACCAAAAGAAATATCATGAGGTTCAATAGGACAAATGCAAACTCCTGCATGTAGCACGGAACAATCCCATGCAGCACTGCAGAGTGGAGACCAACTGGCTAAGCAGGAGCTCTGCAGAAAAGGAACTAGGGTTACAGTTGACAATAAGATTAATTTAAGCCAACAGTGTGCTTTTGTTGACAAGACAACTAATAGCATACCAGGCTGCAGTAGTAGGAACACTGTCAGCAGATGGAGGGAAATGATTATTCCCCTCTGTTCACCACTGGTGTGGCCGCATCTGGAGTACTGTGTCCAGTTTGGGGTCTCCCACTACAAACAGGATGTAGACAGATTAGGGAAATTCTAGTGAAGGGCAATGAAAATTGTTAAGGTGCCTGGGCATATGAGTTATGAGGAGAGGCTAAAGAAACTGGGCTTATTGGGCACTTTTCAACATGCTCTGTGGAGGTGTGTGCACGTGGCGGGGCGGGGGGGGTGACACTTTAATTAGAGCAGTTTCAAGAGCCACTATAATTAAACCACAACAACATTTTCTGTATCAGTGTCCCCACACTTCAAAATGGCAGTGGAGGTGTGTGAACTGAAGCTCATTCAATGGTAATTACTGCACTACAGAAGACTTGATTGATAATGTCTGTGCTGACACGTTATAATTACAGCGTGAGCTTTCACACTCACGTATAAGCAAACATTTCATCTGGAAAAGACAAGATTGAGTGGGGGCTTATAGAAGCCTTCAAATCCCTAAATGATGGTTACAAGGAGGATGGAGCCAGACTGTTCTCAGTGGTGGCAGATGACAGAACAAGGGCCAATGGTCTCAAGTTTCAGCAAGGGAATTTTGTTTTAGATACCAGTAAAATACTATCTCACAAGGAGGGTAGTAAAGCACTGGAACACATTACCCTGAGAGGTTGTGCACTCTCCATCCTTGGAGGCTTTTAAGACCTGGCTATACAAAGCCGTGGCTGTTCCTGCTTTGGGCAGGGGGTTGGACTAGCTGTCCTCCTGAGGTCCCTTCCAAATCCAATTTACCTTGGTTCTATGATCAGTAATGGGTTTTGAGCACAAATACCTGCAGAGAAAACATCGCTCTGAGTTCTACACCACCACTCCTCGTCATTTCAACTCTGTTCAGGAGTTCTCTTTGCTTCTGTTTCTTGTGCATAAACCACCATGCCAGAACTAGCTGCAAATTCCCCAACAGAATGTGTTGCTATCAAAGCAATCCACTTCATTACTTTCAAAATGTTCCTTTGTAGGTATCAATTCTGGGAAGTTTTCTAAACTGCCAGAAGAATTTTACTTGAGCTGAAAGATTTCTTCTTTTTGTCTTGGGAACATGGCGTTTCCTAGGGAATGCTGGGGAATGTTGACTATTCTTTCTGATTTGAAAGAAAAAATATATTTTACACTTAGCTGCACTTCCCATGGAACAGAAATCCCAGTTCCCAACCAATTGCACAATACCGGATTCTGGTATTTTCCAAGTTTCCTTGTATATCCATTCTAAGCAAGTCCACAGTCTTGCATTATTGGAATTCTCAGGAGAGGCTGCTTGCTGGAGGGGTAAAAGTAGCTGCTACTGGTCATGGGAGGATCAAGGGATTGGCAGCTTGAAAGTCATTTGGGCTTGACATAGTTAATCACCTTTCAACGCCCCAGGTTTAGCTATCTACTACTTCCCTATGGTGAAATACAAAGACAACCAAAATCCAGAACCATTACAATCATGACTTGTACAGGGGCTCAAGTAAATAGGCACTTACAAGAAATCAGTTGAATCTTTTCAGCATTGTTTGGAAGAAACACTCAGCTCTCCTGGAAAACCCATAGAAGGAAAGCAGACTGAAAGTCCTAGCACCTAAGTAATCACTGGCACCTCCTATCTAAAAACCATTATTGCTCCTCTTTCAAAACATTCTCATCCCCACCTTCCAGATCACAAACAATCAAGCCTCAAGAAACCTTTTTAAGACAGAACAGAGAAAAACCCAAAGATTTTCTTCACTAGGAATTATTAGAGATACTGAAGGTATGTAAAAGCCATTGCAATAGAGCATTAAAAAATGACAGTGCCACCATCAAAGATAAAAATTGACAGATACAAAGACATTATTAGCTTGGGCCAAGTAGCATCTTAGAAACTAACAAATTCAGGGAGACACAAGCTTAAAATTATATAGAGAAGTTATTTAAAATGGTATAAATATAAAGAAAAACAACTGACATTGGTAGAATTAATCTCTATAAATAACTCAGCTGATTGTTTCTAGAAAAATGTACAGTAATATCGTAGTCACTGGAGAATTGACATCTTCTGAATGACCTACCTCCAGCTAAGAAGTTGCCTTAATGCTGCTTTGATGTCCTTGTTTCTCATGCTGTAGGTAACTGGATTCATCATTGGTGGGATCATAGAATACACAACAGACACCAGGAGATCTAGAGCTGATGGGGACCCAGACCTGGGTTTCACATAGGCAATACTAGCAGTGCTACCAAGCAGGAGGACTACAATGATGTGAGGAAGGCAGGTGGAAATTGCTTTATGCCAGCCCTGCTCAGAAGGGATTCTCAGTCCAGTAGTGAATATCTGAATATAAGACACAAATATAAACACAATACAACCTGCAGCTAAACATGCACCAAAGATAAGAATCTGAATTTCACTAGTAAACACATCTAAGAAAGAGGGCCTAAAGAGGTGGGGGACTTCACAGAAGAACTGGTTGATGAAGTTGGAATGGCAGAAGGGCAGCCTAAAGGTGTTACCAGTGTGCAGTGCAGAGTACAGAATAGCACTGCTCCAGGCAGTGGCTGCCATTTGCAGACAAACTCTCCTATTCATCACTATCTCATAATGTAGTGGTTTGCAGATGGCCATGTATCGGTCATAAGCCATGATGGTGAGGATGGCAAAGTCTGTGGTAATGAAGATGAGGTAGAAAAAAACTTGGGTTACACATCCAGAATAGGAAATCAACCTGGTGTTGAGTATGGAATTCGGCATGGATCTGGGAACTATGACAGAGATGGATCCAATGTCTAGGATGGACAGGTTCATGAGGAAGAAATGCATGGGGGTGTGGAGGTGGCTGTCAAAGCCTATGAGAGTGATAACAAGGAGATTCCAAATCAGGGCCGCCAGGCATATTATTAGAAAAATAGCCAAGTGCAATCTCTGCAATTCCAAGGCATCAGAGAATCCCAGGAGTAGGAACTCAGTCACAGTGGTGCAATTGGACATCATCATCCACAGTGCCTTTTGGGTTGTCTGTGGAGGGAAAGGAAATGACTGTGGTTAGAAGAAGAAGCAAGCAAGATAATAACCCCAACTTCCCTGTCCACAAGCATGCGTGACTTGATTTTTAGAGTTGCACCTTATTTTCAGTTGAACGGCAGTGTTCTGATGAAAAGTTTCCTAAAGTGATGAAATATTTCACGAAACTTTTTTCTCACTTCAGAGTATTGTGGCATTTAACCCCAAAAATGGAAAGGAAAAGTATTGTGCCAGTGTTTTTGCAGAAACTTTGTCACTGCCACTGACTAGAGATCATACATTCAGCATGCCTGTGAAAATGGAGAACTTGTCAGACCACTGTCACAATGGCATAAACTGGCCTAGCTCCTTTCTAGTCCAATGGGCTATATCAGTTCACATCAGGTGTAGATCCAGTCCATGATGTGACTGGGGAAAAAGGAACAATTACAACCCTAAATCATTTCATGAATGTCAGTGCTTGAGTCTGACCCACAAGGAGCTGATCATGAAGTTTTTAAATCAAAAAGCTCATCCCATAGTATTTCCATTTTTTTCTAGGACACATAGCAGAGACACAGCCAATATCTTAAGGTCTAAGTCACCTGGGAAGATTGCACACTTAGCTTTGTGCACATCCTGCCAGGCATCTGCTTGCAAACTGGCTTCAAATCTCAGAAATATATATAAGGATGGGCAATCAAAGTCCTACAGTTCTGCTCTACATTTTGTATCTCATCTACTTCAGAAATATTTTACCTTTTCTTTTACTTTGAAAATCTTCAGTGGACAAGAAACTGGATTACACTTGGTACTTCAGGGGCTATTGATAAAAAGGAAGATATGTTAACAGGACAGCTCCAAGCCCCAAAATGTTGTGATGCACAGGGCAACTCTGCCTGCCCTGGTGCTGACCTGTAGTCATACTTATTACTCACCCCCCCACCTCCCCCCGCCCACAAAGGCAGTGCCTGAGGCTGCTGCCCTGGTTGCCCTCCTTAGTTAGATTACTGTAGCAAAGGTAAAATTTTCAGGAGAGAAATATGCCATTTTTCATGTGTGTACATATATGTTTAGTTTTCTGACCAACTGTAGAAATTGTATTAAATGGAGAATAAAGCTCTTAACCAATTTTATTTATAATTCATAATTCTGTTTCAAACTTTCCTTTCCCTTAATACCCAAATATTATTTAATTGACTATATATTACTTACTGTGACCATCTTAATTGTTTTACCTTCAGTTTCCTACATTAGATCCTTGAATGCCAGGACGGTTTGATTACTGACCATCTACTACTGTATCCATCTGCTCCTGCATCCAATCTCTTGTCCCTCTATAACTGCATGATCTACATGCCAGGGCCACAGATTTTTCAGTCATCCACTCCTCGTGCCATGACAGAACAGAGAGGATGAGATCCAAAATGATTTCTCTCTGAGGAAGAGCTCTGTGTGCAGCTGACATGGAGCTTAACTGGAATGAAAGGATTGAAGCTGCAGCACAGTGATTTGTCTATGTAACGTTTATAAGAACTTGTGGGGCTCATTCCCTAGAGCCCTGTACAGCTCAGAAGCAAAGGCTACATGCAAACACCCTTGGATTCAGATTTTGAAGCCAAAAGGATTGTCATAATTCCCTCATTTGACCTACTGCTGACCACATGGCAGAGGATCTCACTCTGGCTCCTAACTTAGGCTGTGTCTATCAGTGGGCCAATATTTCTGGGGTTTGCTAGTTGCCAGATGGGGATGGGAAGGATTCCCCCTCCCACCCCTCCTTTTGCTACAGGTGTCAGAGTTGCCCACTTCCCCCACCCTCCTTTCCAAACGCTGGGTGTTGGCTGCAGGCAAGGCTAAAGGGTCTTCCCCCTCCACTCATGGTCTGACCAACTACCACATCTGGGGTCATGAAGGAATTTTACTGCATAGTCGGACTGATAGAGACTTGGGGGTGTGGGTGGAGCGGTCCTTCCTCTCTAGTAGGGAGCATGGCTGCTGAATTTGTATCTCCTGAATGTGTTTAAAAACCTTCCAGCAGCAGGACACTAACAGTCTTCATCTCCCTGCTTTACGTATAGCAGATGACAGTAGTTTGGGTGTCTGTGTGCAACATGTTTTGTAGTGGTGTGACAGGGTGACTGCACAGTTTTAGGAAAAGGCTAGACAAGGTTTCGTATAGGGGAGTTTGGATAGGCATGATTCTGCCTTGAACAAGAGGCATTGGTCAGGGACGATCTACGAATAGCCCTGCCTATGCTCTACAATGGGTATTTCCCATTCCTTTGGTCTTTGCTTTTTGCTGCACGGGATTAGGAAAGATTTTCTCTTCCCTTCCTTTTGGTACATGTGTCAGGAGTTGTTTCCTTCCACATTTAGAAGCATTGGGTGTTGGCTGAAACCAAGGTTGGGGATTTGACTGTGTGTGTCAAAGCTCCTGGTGGGACTAAAAACCAAATGTCCCTGGCTGCAGCATCTGCCCCTCCATTCAGCATCAAACCAATCTCCATCTGTAGAAGGGCCCCCAAAAATGTTATCTAGTACAGCCACCTAATTAAGGCAAGAAAATCCCCATATAAACCAACCCAGGTAAGTGTCTTTTAACCTGCTTTTGAAAGGCTACAAGCATGGAGATTCAACAACTTCCCTAGGCAGCCTGTTCCAATGTCCGGCCACTCTTAGTCAGAAAGTTCCTCCTAACCTCCAGCCTAAATTCCCCCTGCTGCAGCTTGAGGGCTGTTGCTCCTAGTCTTGTCTCCTACAGCCACAGAGGAAAGCCCATCTCCATCTCTTTGTAATCACTCTTTGGGTATTTGAAGACTGGTATCAATTCCTCTAATTACTTTCTGTTGAGCCATCAATAAGCAGAAGGCCATCCAAAGAGTGGCTCGTGTCTGAAATCTACCCTACTCTTCACATCTGCACACTTTTTACACTAAAACTGAGAACCATTCCATTGCAGATCTCTGCCCAACTAAAACTTTGGGATATACCTGGTCTTACACACATGCCTACTTAATCAGGAAAGGCTGAATCATAAACTCTGAAAATTCCAAAAACTGCAGTTTATACAGCTACATGTGTGCCATTTGGCAGAATGAAGTACAGTCTACTGACTCAGGTCACGTCTACACGTGCCGTTTCATTACTGTAGCAATGAACTATGGTGACGTAGTTTCCGCAGACAAGTACTGTGACACCACAGCTACATATCCTTGGGCAGCACTGTAGTGACCATGCTACCTTGTTAAAGTGCATAGCTAGAGCGACGTAGTGCGTAAAAGTAACTGTGGGCAGCACACACAGCACAGTACAGGCTGTTACTGTGCTATCTTTTATTACTTCCAAAAGAAAATACTAAATGATGGTACAGTAACAAAGGCATCATAGCAAAACATGTAGACGCACTGTCGGTGTCATAGGGAGTGTCCAGACAAGCGGGCACGTGTGTCTTGCCCCGCCTCAAACCCCTTTGAGGCAGGGCAACACGCACATGTGGGAATGAAAAAATGTTCCCCATGCTGCAAACTTGTAACATGGGGAGAAAATTAGAAAATCGAAGTTTAAAAAAGCGGAGCAGGGCATGGTCCCGGACCATCCCCTGAAGCAACCAGAGCCTGGGTCCTCCACAGAGACACTCTGGCTGCCAGAGCATCTCTATGGTTGGCCCCTCACCCTGGTGCTGAAACATGCGGCCGACCAGACCACGTGTTTCAGCACCAGGGCTCAAGTGCCAGTGGGTAAGGGGTCAGCGGGGCTGGAGGAGGGGGAAGGGGACCATGGGAGGGACCCCCAACAGCCCTGCCCACTCCCCAAGCCCCCTCCAACCCCTGCCCTGCCTGTACCCTCTCCCCACCAGCCCCCCCAAGGCCCCCGACCCC